TAAAGAAAATGAAAATATAAACCAAAGTTTTAAGATTACAATCCAGTCATCAACATTGTCTCCTTCTTTTTCAATCGTGATGCAAGTCTCGATATAAAGGTTATATCTATTCTTTGATAATTACAAAAGATTTAAAGAACCACTCAAAGCATATCGCAATGAATGTAAAGGCTTCAGAATCACAGATCTAGTCATTAGAATAGTCCCCCCCTTTTTCAACTGTAGCACAAGTAATAAATGTTCTCTGAGAATTAAAACTGATTTGATAGCAGATAAACACATGTTAAATTAAAATAAAATCAAAAATCTCAGGATTCTTAATCTAATCATCAATATATTCGCCCCTTTTAAATGGCGATATATGACCTTTAAATGAGAGCATCGGTGTTCTTTACTTATACGATTCTTGCTTATTTTATGAGCCATGTGCGATTTTCATCTTCACGTCATCATCAATAGAGAACTGCTATCCTCTTAGTGCTTTCTTTTCTTAAAATTATTAAAGTCTTACAAGGCAGAGAAAAGATTGCTGACTGGTTTGGGCGAGTTTGCTCATCATTGTGGGAAATTTTTCTTTGCGGGCTTTTGAATAAACAAGACAATACAATAAACTGCAAGCACTACCATGGTTAACCTTGCACGGTGTTTTGCAATAGTGATTATTCTGTCAGATGCAATCTATCTGTATACTCAATCCCAACAGCAGCTTGACTGCCACTGTAGGACCTGTTTCTTTATTTCCCTATGTTTCTTCTTTGTCAAAATGTTTTACGACATTCTAAGCAATCTATGCCTATCAAATGTTAACCTGTCAGGTTTCTTGCATTCTGCTAAGAATTTCGAAATATTTTGACAACAAAGAGATAAATTATATATATATATATATATATATATATATATATATAAAATATTTGAGAATATACTAAGTTTATTCGGTATAATTCCCATTTGCAACCGTTTTTAACCGAATTAATTTTATTACTTTGAAGGAGTCTAAGTTTATTTTTATTATATTTCTTTCTACTGAATCTTGGTATCCATTGTTTATATTTGGGACAATCTTTTTCTTTCTGCTTATTTTTTGTTCTCATTCCTTTGTGAAATAACACCTGGAATCAAAATCTAATAAGCAGTACAAATATCTACCGGTAGATTTGTAGGCTTTTTATTTGAAATAAGGAAATGGTAACAAATGAAAAACAAATACAGTAACTCTCAGAAATATCGTTAGTACAATATGCTTATCCAAACATTGAACACGCGTATGTCTTTCATATTGATTTCAATTACAATGATTAAAATGAACTTTGAAATTTGCCCATTATTATTATCGGAAGACGATGCACAACTATATAGGAGGATAGGCTGAAAAGTTCATAGGCTGAATATGAAAGTGTGATGCTAGAGCTGTGAAATCTTGCATATATTCATTTCAACTCTTCTTAATAATAACCGCATTGTTCCTTTCCAGATACGAGGATGGACTTAAAAGTTCATAGCATAATTCCGACGACCAGCGAAGAGTTTTTAAGTGAAATATTGCTTCGTAGGGTATAAAAACTTTCCTGACGACAAGTAGAAGTTATTTATCTGTAACGTCAAGCACTGTTTGTTGCGAGTGTGTATCCTTCCACATGATGGATTTAAGTGGAAAAAAACTAGCATCCGGTTTGTTTTCCATTTTCCTCGTCATGGCCGAGAGAGAAGTGACGTAATCGTTCCTTATTGGTCACTTGCTATTTTAAAATCATCAGCAGCAGTTGTGCATTATTGTGTATTTTACGGAATATATATCGGTGTTTGTTATTGTGTGCTTGGTGGGCTTTTGCTTAAGGATCGTCTGACGGAACAGGTATTGTTCAAGTAAGGCCGCTTGGGCGAATAGGTATGATCTTGAAAGACTCGAAACTTGTCATAACCCCAAATCAATAACGTCATTGATGAGGCGATCCTGCGTACACGTTCGAGTGTATTGTAACAATATATATATATATATATATATAGGTAACTATACTCGTTTCGAAAACCCCTCGAATTTTTGATTTCAAATCAATCTCGAGGGAAAAAAAGGTTTTAAAAAACGAAAGAGCTAGAAACATGAAAGTCTGTCGAAAAAAATCGCACAGATACAGGTTTGAAGCCCAAAGAAAAAACCCCGATACGAGTAAACAACTAACTAACAAAAGAGCTCAATACAACCGTAGAGCAGGCCTAGAAAAACTGGGTAGGTTTGTCTGGCTCACTAGGTTTATCTATCTATCTATCTATCTATCTATCTATCTATCTATCTATCGCTTATATATGCCTTTCATTGTATGTATATGTTGTCTGATTTTTTTTTTCTTTTTATGGGTGGTGGACATCTATTTTCTCTTTCGTTCGTATTTTTGCGTTTTTATATATCTAAATATGTTTACGTGTTTGTGTATTATAATCTGATTGTGTATGTATTGTCTTTTTCATGATTTCATCAGCCGACCCATTATTTTGGAGTAACTTATCTTAAAATTTACTGCAAATTTAGAGTAAATTTTAAAATAATTTATTCCAAAATTCGCTTGAAGATGAAACAGAACTAATGTTTTTAATTTAATTTAATTAAATTTGAATTTTTTGTTTTCTGTTTTTGAAACATAGTAATACCTGTGTAGCAATGAAACCATATTTTTAAATCAGTTAATTTATAATATATATATATATATATATATATATATATATATATATATGTGAAAAGTGTACATAAATATAAATAAATATATATATGTATAATTATTTATATATTATATGCGCGGTACTTATTAGAAAGCGCTCAGTATCAGAGATAGAGCTAACATATTTGGTTGGATAGATGTGAGTTTTGACCCTGGGTTTCACACTTTAGCGATCGTCAAACAAACTCTGACGATCGCTAAAGCGTGAAACCCAGGATCACAAACTCACATCTATCCAACCAAATATATATATATATATATATATATATATATATATATATATATATATAAGAAACAGCTACTGTGATTACACTAATAAACTTTAGTCTATTTATAGTAGCTGTATTTTTATATACTATTATGGAAGCTAATTTTGACTGTTGGATTTTGGAGTGCTGACCTACGGAGTTATCGGTCTTGGTACAGGCAATGATCAAAATAGAAACACGTGTTTCATAAAGATTTGTATCTTACCAATACTGTATTAGAGTGTTATTCCCATTTACAATAGTCAACAAACACATTATCTTCACCTGCGTATTTAGCGTCCGGTAGACGCGCCTTTGTTGCATAAAAAATTTAATTCACGGTTATTTGTAAAGATCTTTAATCATCTGTCATCTAATAACACGGCATAGATTCGTATTCCGTTTGGTTCCGTCACAGACTTTAATACTTATCACTTCTTAATTTTTTTTAGTTCTTTAGTCTTTTTTTTTTGCCATTCACATCTATTATTAAAAAAATGATAATCTAAAATAAACAAAAAAAAAAAAAAAGAAACGAACCAATTTGAACGATTATATCGAATCTAAGAGAAAAAAAGAAAGAAAGAAAAACTCCAAAACAAGCTTTAGTAGGTTTTGAATAGAGTTGTACACTTTCTTTGTAGACTCAGCTGGCTATCCATTGTTATTGAAAATTTGCTAACAATGAGAAGAGCAATCGAGAAAGAGATTTTAAGAATAAACACTCATCTTGAAAAATATCCAGCTGGTAAAGATGACACATCAGCGCTTGTACAATTGGAAATATAAGATGAAAAGCCGATTAATATAAAAAAGAACAAAAACATTTTAAACATTCAAAAACAAGTGTTTCTCGTTTTATTGGATCGACGCAAATTGTAAGTTGAAGAAAAATCCTTTTCCGATAACGAATATATGTGATTAGAATTAACTGAGCATCCATTTTCCTACTTTAACAATAAAAACGATATGATCCATATTATCAAAGAAAATTCCTATCTCGTCAAAGACAATCAATTAAAGAACATCTTTTGTTACGGAAGAGGATATCCAAGGTATTAATTTTACTCCAGCAGATCCAATTCTGTTTCATGAGGCATGCGGTGTAAATAATGGAAAGAATTGTTATGAAGGTATATCAATTCTAATCGGACCGAATTGTTATGGAGATATATCATTTGTAATGTTTTCCAGGAAGAACAGATTAAGTTATAAGCTGCCATTTTATAATCAAATAATTCACCTGTTTTCTGATAGTTAAGAATGAGATGTGGGAATGTAAATTTGGAATTGGAAAACTAAATTTTCACTGGATTACAAGAACAAAGAAAGAACAACGCCGACAGCTAATTTAGTATCTTGAAAAGCAATACATATCAGTGACTATACTTTCTAGTATTAACTTTCTGGGCGGATTTAGTATCTGAAATCTTCTATAGCTGTAAGATTGGATTGAGAAGTTATTAGTCAAGAATGACCTCTCGGATTATGACAGATTAATGTAGACTTAAAAATCCCTTTGTGATAACGATTGAAACAACTTGAATACCAATGCATAGAAAGGAAAATTAGCTTGGATGATTTAACACATTTACTATTTTATTTTTCATACACACATGTGCGTACACACGGCAATGGATATACACTGATGTGCCAAAAGCGATGGAAGTGTAGTATAGGACACTTTTTAACAAACTGAAGCTTAACAAATCGATACATCATCGATTTCAAAAGTATACGTTGTAGCTCTGGAGTGTCTTTACGCTATACAGTCTTGAATGAATGATTGATTGATTTTTTGTTGTCTTTTGAAGTTTATACATAGCCAGTAAATGTTTTTGAATTGTAAGATTTTTTTGGAAATAATAACGATTTCCTGATATAAGTACTACTATTTAATCCATATATGGGGTAGAAGGGGGGTGTATAGTCATACATTTCCCAAAGAAATGAATATAACGAACCCGACTGGAATTGGAACTGGTCTCTCCGATTTCCAATTGATGGCCGTCATCCATTACACAATCCCACACATCTAGATTTACAACACCTGATTCTTCTCAAGCGGTCACCCATCTAGGTACTGATCAGGCTCGATGTTGCTTAACTAAGGTGATCGGACGAGAACCGATGTTTCAACGTGACATAATCGTAAACATGAAAAGACTTTAAATCCTATTTACTGCTCCCTGATATTTGTAAGTTCAAGATATTTGCATGCAAACAGAGATTCCGAGCACATTGGATTGGAATCACATCAAGCCAACGTGGTGGCAACATGTAGCGGTCTGAAGTTTCCAAAAGGCTCCTTAAACCTATTTTTGTCGACTACTGCCATCGATTTTGGCTTACATTGAATTTTTTAAAACATTTCACCCCCAAGCAAGGCGAAAGTGCCATTAGCACGCAAGGAGTTACAGAGAGGAGAGCAAAAATAAAGAGGGGGTGTTTGAGGAAAGGATAAAGAGAAGGACAGGGACCAAGATCAAGGAATCACAAGATGTCGATTGACATTACATTCGAATTATCTATTTCCTGTTTCGTTCGTGTTTTTGCGTTTTTCTATATCTAAATATGTTACGTGTTTTTGTAATATAATCTGATTGTGTATGTATTTTCTTTTGCAAGATTTCACACCCACCTACCCATATCATCACTTCAAATGTATCTAAGTTGTAACGAAGCTCAGAGCAACATTAGATTTTAACGTCTATTCTAACTTTTAATAAAAACAAAATAAATAACAAAACATATGTATTTTTCCTCAGTTTCTTCTTTAATAATTTTATAATATTTTAAACTTAATACAGATTAAATTTAAATTTTAAAATTGGTAATTTTTAATTTTCAAATTTATAGTTAAATTTAATATTAATTAGAATGATTTCTATTTTAGTCTAATCCTAACATGAATTATTATAACCAAGGTTCCTTGTCAATTTTTTGAATTCTCATATACTTGCTTATGTAACTAACGAGGGAGAGTTTGATTGATTTGCAACTTTTAAAACCCTTTATATTCTAATTTCAACACCATCACTTGATAAGACACCAGAAGTGTTGAACCAAAATGGCTATTTTTGTAGTGATTTTCTAACATATTTATGTTATAATTTTCGAATAAATTATATTTACTCTACTCTGAATTGAGAACTATTTTAAGAAAAGTATTTTTCGTTTATTCGAATTTATACCATATCCACCAATCCTATACTTTAAGATTATAGCTATCAGTGAAGCAAGTAAGAGGAAGGGAGTTTCACTGTCGGGAAGTGAGAGATAAGAAGCTGCTGAAGTAGAAAAGACGGATACATTTAACCGTTTCGATAGTGAAAGGTTTGGGACGAGTAGCACGCTTAAATTCATGCAGTTTGGGTACCAGTGAAAGTAGTTCGTCAAAGCAGTTATAAGGTCGCGATAAAGTGTAACCGACCTGTCCAGGTTGTGTGAATAGATGGCAGAACGGTGGGTGGAATGGATGGTAAAAAAATTGTCACAAAGACCTTCGAAGGTTGTGGAGCGATATGATCTTCCACGTCCAGAAGAGACCGGGCACAGAGAAAGATGGTCTAGTACAAAATCACAAGCGTAGGGATTTCAGTGATGAACGAACTAATTACACCGTAGAAAACCTCCTCCAGTCTATTTCCCTGTCATGTGGTGTACATTGAGTGGCTCCAGAAGAATAGTGCGATGTTAACTAAGTTTAGTTTTGTTTGGCACAAGGCCAAACAACTTGAGTGCATTTTGAGATACGAGCCTACTAAATTAACGACTACTGATTATTAACCCTATCCAAGGTAAATATCAGTGATATTTTAAAAGAAATATTACAGCCGATCTTTTGTCACCAAGTATAAAAAAGAAACAAATTAAAAGTTAAAAAAAATAAAAGATTAAAAAATAGAAAATAAAATGGAAAATAGAAAAAAAATAAAAATGAAAACAATCAAGTTTAAAAAATAATATAAAAATTTAAAATAAAGAAGCTGAAAATAAACTTATGAAGGAAACATTTATGGGACCTGAAATTAATTTATTTATATATAATTATAATGATAAAAATTAACCGTTTTAATACAGGAAATATTTGGGATGTTTTGACTAAACAATTTTTTTAACTGTCGGCTAAAATTTATAAACCATTTATAAAACCGTATTTTCAAGTAATTTGTCTTCACTTTTCTCACTAACAGGTTTTATCTTCCAAATCTTTTGTTTTTGTTAGTGTGGCATGTTAGCATTTTGATTATGTAATTACTTTCTCTTCTGTCAACATGCGTTTCCCATGTTTGTTGTTGCTGTTCGAAGTGTAAAAGCACAATATGGGCAAAACTGATGTTTCTTTTTTCCCCATCTTCAATCAATAAGAAACATGTGTGGTAAGACAACACGATTACCTCTCCTGCCTGATGATTACTATAAATAAGTCACGCCGTTTTAGCCAAAATGGCAGGACTCTTCAGTTGCGTTCAATAAAGGCACATTAAGCCAACCTGGATTCCGAGTTTTCATTGCAATATGTAAGCATCGAATTTAATATTTGTTTTAAAACTAAATAGAAATCGGATGTATATGAAAAATGCTATACAACAAAATAAAGCGATATAGCAGTTTATTGAGGATAGTTTAGAAGTTGCCCAAGACCTAGTGTATGGGGCATTCAGTGAGGATATTGAAGGGAGGCGGAACGATTATCTCTATCTATAAAAGCCAGGATGTGTGTGTGTGTGTGTGTGTGTGTGTGTGTGTGTGTGTAACGAATGCACGGCCGCAATTTTCGACAGATGTGCACCAAAATTTACATGCACATGCTCCAAGTTACGGGAAAGGCCAAAACTGACTTTGCATTTCCCAACTCCCATCGATAGTGGAAATAATGGATTTTTTCATGCTTCTACGGCAGTTTTCATGTAGTTTGTGGCCATTTTCTACTGGCCAGAGTGAGAGCCAGTAGCTAACTGCCACGAATAGGCAGGAAGATTCTATTGGCCAGCGTGAGAGCCAACAGCTGACTGACACGAATGTTAACTAGCATGCTAGCATGCAAAAAAAATCGATAGCTGCATTCGTCACAAGTGGTAAAAATTTAAATCTGCATTGCACTTCACTCCAATTGGCTCATTCGCTTGCTTAAACTCAACGTTGATTCTGATTCCGCAGAACTGGGTTGGATGTGAAAAAGTATTTGTTGTTAACATTCTTTTTCCATTCGGTTTATCCAGTTACGAATCCTTTTTTAAAGCTGATCGTTTTGTGTTCATTTTGTTTAGTTCTTTTTTCGTAACAGATTTAATGTTTAGTATAGAGCTTAGAAAAAATTCACAGTTTGAGATAGACAAGAAGTAAGGCATGTAGCAACATCAGCACGTCAAAGGTCACTCCTTTAAAGGCAAGGAAGGGCAAAAATATTTTAATTTAAGTGATAGCGATTGCTGTATGAGTAATACGATTTTTGAATCAAGCACGGGCAACGCCAGGCCATGCTGCTAGTTAATAATAATAATAATAATAATAATAATAATAATAATAAGGGGTGTTTCATTAAGAAAGATCAAAGTCAGCAGTAAATAAATAAGTGTTACTGGTGAAAATTTATTTATTTCTCTATTGGATCATGTTATGTAAGTCATGGCAATTTTGTGTGAAAAATAATATCGCCCAAATGTGTGACAAGGCTTCGGCGGCACACTTCCTTCGATGATCAACATTTTTGATGACGTCTCTGCATAGTGATTCCTTGATCTCACCAATATACCTTATTATCTCATCCTCCAGCTGTTGAATTGTTGTTGGCTTAGACCTTAATTTTGAAATGACTCCAAAGGAAGAAATCTCAAAACGGACGATCTTGGTGGTCAATTGACTTCACTATTTCGAGATATGATGCGACCTGGGAACGTCTCATTCAAATTCTTTTTGAAAGTCCATTTTCGTAATAGGCTTCGATAAATTTTCCATAGTTGAAATTGCCAAAGACACAAGTTGTTAAATCTGGAAAACAAAAGAAAAAAATATAAATGTGTTTAAAATTCAGTAATCTATATATATAAATATTAACTATATCAAATTAATTTTTATTTAAAATTTTATTTTCGTAACGGAAATTTTACATAACCGAAAAAATTAAGATTAGATTATTACACATAACAATTTACTTAAAAAGTAACAATATTTAAAAAATATTTAATGTTTTTTATGTCACATATTTTAAACTAAATAAGATATCTAGTAATAATGTTTCAGCTGAACGGCGTAATCGAGCCCGCACTGGTGTTTTCACATCTGCCAACGACCCGGTTCCAATTGCACTCTCGAAACTTTAACACGTTGTTTGATTGTTATGCTTTAAATGGTTGTAATTGCCAAAGACTTAAGTTGTTAAATTTCAAAGAAAAAGAAAAAAAAATCATTAGACGTTTAAACTTAATTCACATTTAAAATCGGTCCAAGAACACCCCTTAATAATAATAATAATAATAATAATAATAATAATAATAACAATATTAATAATAATAATAATGTCAGTATCTCTCGGCGTAGAGTAATAGTTCCTGATTCAATCCCGAATATCATTATTACAGAGAAAAAGAGTCGGGGGATTACTGAGTCTGCCATATATACAGCCATGTGTGGGCACCTCGGAGTGGTGTAATGGTAAGCAAGCTTGTCATGTTAGAACAATTACGACTGATTCGTGAGTTCGATCCTCACTGGGTGACCCATACTTTTAGCCATATGCCACATCTGAGCTACGCTTGGAAAATCACTATATGGCTATGTGCAAAAACTAATCACTGCATAATAATTTTCCTTGTTTAGTGTGCTTATCTAGTTGACTAAGTGGGAAAAAAAAGTTCCTGTGATACGCGTTTTGGCCTTTAGGATTACACCTGAATAAATTTATGTTGGTGTGACTACACATGCGCACAAACGAGGCATGCTTGGAATTTAAATTACATTTTTTTTTTCATTTAATCCAGTCGATTTCATTCAGATTTTTTTATTTGTTGTTTTTATCACTTTTGTATTTAGATCCCATACTGTGATAATAGCAGATCTGCCATGAAGAGGGAAATATTGCAAGAACCAGGTCGCAAATTCACATAGGACATAACGCGTCACACGAATGTTTTTTTTTCCGCTTTGACAT